CATTTTCTAATTGCTTGATTTCAGGTTAGATCTTCTGAAAGATACAAAAGTATCTCTTTCTGCAAACCACCTGCAGAAGCTGCGTTTATCTTTTCAACTAACCACACCGCTCGGGCACACATTTAAACCTCACCAGGTTGCCACTCACTTTGATATTCTGATACCATGATGGGGATATTTTTCCTTACATCATTTAGCAAATGTGTTCAGGTGTTCTTGAAGTTGAAGCATGAGAGTAAGGTTGAACACTTATTTGTGGTACCTGGCTCTGCAAGGCAGTTCAAAATTGTTCTTGTGAGTATCTCCACACTGGAATTTGCTTTGTTAGTTCTTTGGATGCTCTTAATTCATTGTGGCAATGTCGCCAATAGTTTAGACCAGGCACTTAACTATCTCAAAAAGTTGCACCTATATACCAACTCAATTTTTCAACAGTGATGTTTAGGCAATGAAGCCTGTTTTCAAGTTTTTTACTCTATAGTCATGCTTATGGGAAGCAGCACTGGGGGTATGTACTATGTAGGTGCAACTGACAAATTGAGGTTTAAAACATCTAGTTGCATTTTTGTGACGATAGATTTTGTTCAATATGGTATATTGATGTAGTGGTATGTGGAATAATTTTGCTTGGTGTAATCCATCTTCCAAGTCCTTGAAATTTTCTGAAGGGTTTAAAGGCTATTTTGTGACATGGTTCCTTATATGCTATTTTGACTTCTTGTAGGACTTCCTAGGTTTGGTGGAGAAATTTTACTACCTTTCTGGAAGATATGACCTTGAGCTTGCCGTTGGTGATGCTGCAATGGTAAGCAACCATATAATTTTATCCTGCTACTATATATGGCCCCCATTTGTTTGCTTTGCTGATTTTCTTTGTGTGTTCAGGAAAATTCATTTCTACGACCTCTTGGCCATTTGGAGTTGGACCTACCAGAAGCTCCAGAAAAAGCCCCACGTCCTTCTGCACAAGCTGTTGACCCATTCTCAAAATTTGGGCCAAAGGCAGAGATATCACATATATTCCACGCACCAGAGAAGAGGCCACCCAAGGAACTCTCGCTTGCATTCACGGGTCTCACGCTTCTGCCTTTTATCGGATTCTTGTTAGGGGTGAGTAAAATAGTCATTCTAGTCATGTATATTTCTTACATTTGCTTCGAATCAAAGTTTCTGCCTGCTCTAGTGCAACTGATCGAGGGCCTTCTCTTGCAGCTCGTGCGTCTTGGAGTGAACTTGAAGAACTTCCCGTCCTTGCCAGGACCAGCTGCATTTGCCTCACTTTTCCATGCTGGAATAGGAGCAGTCCTGCTGCTCTACGTTCTCTTCTGGCTCAAGGTTTGCCTTGTTCCTTGTGATAAATGTTACTTGTGAAAACTGGCGCTGATGTTCATTTCCATTTTGGTGCAGTTGGACCTTTTCACAACTCTGAAGTACCTTGGCTTCCTCGGCATCTTCCTTGTGTTTGTGGGCCATAGGACCCTATCCTACCTTTCCTCGGTGTCAACAAAACAGAAGACGGCATGAGTGGACAATGCAAACAGAGTTTTCCCGATCATCAATTTTTGAGGTGGCCATTGCAGGCCCTTGGGTGTCTTTGCTTGGTACTCTGACCGCACCCCAGATTTTCTTGAGCTACATGCATTTTGAGGGAGGACTCGGCTTATTTCATTTGGCTTCGAAGAATACTGATACTAGGAAAAGTAATAGGACCTCACCATCGTGTATTATGATGATGTACTGACAATTTCTGAATAGAATTGCATGTTTAATCATAGAACTCATAATCTAATCTTCATATCGTGCTGAAGTGTTACAGTAACAGGACCCACAGGATTCAGGATTCTACTTTTTATCTTTATTAGTTTTCTTTCCTATCGTTCTGAAGGAGGCCCTAATCTAATCTTCATAGCCGCCCTAAACCTGGAGCTACTTAAGAGTACATACGTCCAGTGGTGCCAGTGGAAAGCTACGGGAGAGAGTAATTAGAGGTTAGCATCAATACCGGAGTGTACTACTGGTGCTAAGACTACTTTTAGTTATAAACTAAATATTTTAATTCATCTTATCACCTAATAAGGGTGTTCTAAGGAATAAAGTTCGATTTGCACCTAAATGAAGGAATAATAGGTGCCCATACTCATACATATATATCATCTTATCATCTACTCCCTTCGTCTCAAAATAATAGGTACCGAAGCTCATATGTCTCTCTACATATTCATGGCTAAAAAGTCACTTATTTTGGGACGGAGTACTAATAAAGGTGTTAAAGGAATGAAGTTCGATTTGCACCTAAACGAAAGAATAATATTTGCACCTAAATGAGGGAATAATAAATGTATCGCTAATGTACGCCACGGGCGTCCGTCCCGTCCGGATGGATCGCTCCGCACGCCTCACCCACGCTGTGCGCCCCGTGCCTCACCCACGCCGTGCGCCCCGTGCCTCGCCCGCCCGCGAGCCGTGGCTCGCCCCCGCCCGCACCCTCGTTCACCTCGCCTGTCGTGGAAGGGGAGGCCTGCGCCCCCATCCACCTCGCACCGTTGGCAGGAAGGGGAGGCCTGCGCCACCACAATTGCCCACCAGGTAGGCCATGACCGTCGGCGACGCTATGTTTTCAAGTGTTTCAGACGTTTTTAAACATGTTGCAAGTCTACGTTTCAAGTGTTTCAGTTGTTTCAGACGTATGTTTCAAATATTTTATCTGGATGTTGCGTATGTTGCTATGGCTATACACGCATGTTTCAAGCGTGTGTTTCAAATGTTTTAGATGTTTTCAGGCTTATGTTGCATGTGTTTAATCTGGATATTGCAAAAGTAGATCTGGATGTTGCATATGTTGTTATGACTATACACGCATGTTTGAAGTGTTTCATTTTTTTCAAATGTATATTGTAAGTCTATTATTTGGATGTTACATATGTTGCAAATGATTATGTTGCAAATGTATGTTCCTAATGTTTCATCTGTTTCAGATGTATGTTGCAATTCTTTCATCTGAGCGTTGCAAAAATAGATTTTGATGTAGGTGTGGAGGAAGTCTAAGCTCTCGGTGGTCCAGCTGCTGCGGCTCCCTGGTGTGGCGAAGATGGAGGCCGCAGACACATGAGCGGCGGGGACGGGATGCCGCGGCGGATTGGTCGGGATGTGGAGCGGGATGTGTGCGGGCGCGGCGCATTGGGCGGGATGGGACGCAGGCCTCCATGCTGCGTGTGTCGGGTGCGGGCGCGGGAAGCTCCGTCCAGACCGACGTTGCCTCCATAGCGGGGATGGACACAGGGCATGCGTCAGGCGCGAGATGTGCGTTGGGCATGGGTCTGGGCGTGCGTCGGAAGCCGTGTACGGACGGACGTGCCACGTACGGGCGTCTGGGCGCTAGTCGCTCCGTAGATGTATATGGTCTTAATTACATTTGGTTTCAAGAACACAATAAGAAATGAGATCTAAAACATGAGAAACTAAAATGTTTTTAATAAGAAAATAACTGACATTTAAATTCAAGTTGAAATACTCAAAACTATGTCGGTTTTTCAGTAAGAAACTACATGATGATTAGTTATGGAGTAGGGTACTAGGGTGGGGTGGGAATCACTGTCACCAACACAGATATAATGATCTATCATTACATGTTGCAACAATCCCCAAGCATATGTGACCCGAAACCATCTCCGTTTTGCGTAAACCATAATAATCACACTGTTGCTGTACAGTTGCACTAGACAACAAGGTACGGATGGAGCCTCTTCAGTCTCTATGCAACCTCTGGTTCATTTGGAGTTGCCCTGTTGCTAGCACTTATAGAAAGGATAGTGAAGTAATTGGAGAGCCGTCCATGGCAAGAAGTGAAGATTGAGAGTTAGCCTTGAGTGCTACTGGTGTTCTAGGCTGGATTTTTGTAGTTGAGGATGGGGACTTATTACTCTTGGTGATTGCCATAACCTAGACGGTCTGGTGGAGGATTTGGTGACCTTCTCAGTGGAGTTTGTTGGTTTATGCTGATGCCTATGCTGATTTGTTGTGAGAGAAAAATATTGTTCGTTCGCTGAAAAAGTACTGCTGAAGTAAACATCATTGAGGAAGCTCCAAAAAATGTACATGGTTTATAACCCGCCATTCTGAAGTGGAGAAGGGGTATTCACTAGTGGATGGGAATGCATTCTTGGTTGGATTGTTATAGTTGAAGATGAAAACTCATTATTCTTGGTGATTGCCATAACCTAGATGGCTCGGTGGAGGATTTGGTGACCTTCCTCTGTGGAGTTCTCATTGAGAAAGCTCCAAAAGATATACATGGTTTATAACCCGCCATTCTGAAGTGGTATTCACTAGTGGATAGGAATGTACATGGTTTATAACTCGCCATTCTAAAGTGGAGAAGGGTATTCACTAGTGGATAGGAACCTAAACGAGTCCTAGTGACTCTTTGTGCTCCAACCGTGTATTAGGGGAGGGGTTATAAAAAAGAATTAATAATACAAGAACAAGAGAAAGGCAACATATTTTATTGTCGTATAAAATACGGGCTAGCAGCCTAACACGATTCTACGTGAATTGCATATACATTTTTTTTGACACTAAAATTCAGAAATGTGGTACAAAGTGCTCGTAACAAAACTATAGCATTTCCTCCGTGTGTAAAATAAGTTTCAGAGTTCCCGATAACAAGATAAAAACGCCTATACACTTTTGTAGTTACATGCATGCTGGATCTGACGGGATGCGGTGGAAGCTATCTTTACAAACTACTGGACTCTAAGATGTCTGCTCTCCATACTGCCGCTCTCGATACTTAATGTGCTCGTCCTCGTGGGGGAAAACCGTTTTGGTTTAGTTTGATTAGTCGTAAACCGTTTCTGGTTCATGGTAAAAACAATGCCAGCTTATTCGAGCTCCTGGGTCCAGGTCAGTCCTTGCAAAGAATACACCAATGACAGACGACTCACTTCTGCCATTCCACTGAAAAAAAAGCGTGGAGTAAACCACATTCTGTGATTTCAGGGCTACTTGAGATCGTCATTTTGTCGCCTGGCTAATCTTGAATATAAACCACCCTTCTCAATAAGATCAAAGTGTTTACCATCCTGCAAAACCATACAAAGAAACTTGGACGTAAGAAACCAAATGATGGTGAAAGCGTATAAGATGTTGTATAAGTTGGTGCCAACAATCATGAGATCATGTATCTCTAAACGATCACAACAGCACTAGAGTTTGCGCAATGAAATAATGAGGCAGCAACAGTCGAAAACATACCTCCACAATATTACCATTTTCCATCACAATAATTCTGTCAGCTGTTTGAATTGTAGATAGCCTAAACAAGAAAAAAAATCCCAAATCCCAAATTATCAGGCATGCTCAAAAATCAAGATAGCAAACACCTGTGTGCCTAGTATACATTACCTGTGTGCTATGATTACCACAGTTCTTTGAGCCTTCGAATCTTGACTAACTTTTGTGATGACGCTCTAGTTTGACAGAGAGAAGATGTCAATAGATTTTTCCTAGGAACATTTGGATTGTATATACACCATTTGAACTCGTAGGATATTCAAATTCTTCATTAATGATTTACCTTCACATAATGTTCACTCTCAGCATCAAGCGCACTTGTGGCTTCATCAAGCAGTAAGATAGATGGGTCCCTCAGAAGGGCCCTGGCAATAGCAACACGTTGTTTCTGACCTCCACTGAGAAGAGCATCATCAACAATGGTGTTATAACCATCAGGCAAAGCCATTATGAAATCATGAGCATAGGCCTGCTTTGCAGCCCAGACCACTTCTTCATGACTGACTTCTCTTGGGCAACCATATTTAATATTAGAGCTAATATCCATTCGGAATAGGCGTGGTTCCTGCATATACCAAAACATGATTGTTCAGTAAAACACGAGTCTCAAGCGGTACTTAATGTATGTGGAGTTGATTAATCCTCAACCTGTCTGACGAAACCAATTCTTTCCCTGAACCATCTGATATCAAGCTCAGTGAGTGGGACACCATCAATTAGTATCTGCATCAGCACACAAGTGTGAGATATACAATCAAAGGATGACTCTGGAAGTGTGAAAAGCTGAGACCACAGTTAGGAACAACTTACTTGCCCATTTGTAGGTTCATATAGTCTTAGTAGTAAATTGATTATAGTACTCTTGCCACTTCCACTAAGACCAACCTACCAAGTTCCATCCATAAAGGTAGTAAGACATCCAATATCAGTCTGTGAGAATTAACTGACAAAGAAAAAATAACACCCCTATGTCTTACAATTGCAACTACTTCATTTGGATTCAATGTTAGATTCAATCTTCCCAAAACTGGTACCTGTTACAAATAAAAAAAAAGGGTAAATGAAGGGCCACATAAACCCTTGCCAACATTTATAACTACAAAATATCCATACTTTAGAGTTCATCCTTACATTTTCTTAATTTTTTCCAGGATATTAAATGTTAAGATCAGAAGTTCCTTAACAGTACTTGTAAACATAAAAGTATAAAAAACTGTGGTGTAAGTAATACCGTAGGTCTTGATGGATATGAAAATGATACATCAGCATACTGAATTTGCCCTTTCAACTTCTCTAACTTGAGGCCTGCAATGATGAAAAGTTTTATATTACTGAATTGCTATGCCTCCAAAGAATTAGTCTTACAGTCATGCACACATTTTCTTGCCTTCAGAGCTAAGCTGCTTGCTAGGAAGGAGATCCATCAAACGAAAAACTTTTTCACTTGCTCCGACAGACTGCATGAGGGAGGACCAGTTGTCTCCAATCCACCATGTGGACAAAATTAGCCATTCAGCATAGAGTGTGAATTTTGTCAACTGCTCAGCAGTTAGCTTCCCAGACATGATTGCTAGACCTCCAATCACCACTCCAATGACCTACGCGAAGCTTATTTGCAAGAGTACTTCATCAGTTGTGTAAAGACTTTAACACCACCAGATGATATTACAAATTACTCTGATGGTTAATTATTAAAAAAACAATAGCAGAGGAGATACCTGAGTAGAATGGTATAGATAGTTCAAGCTCAGGCTCCAGCCTCCATAAGCCACTGTCTGCCGAAAGCTTACATCATACAGCTTATCAAGCCACTTTGCATACCTATGGAAGACTCAAAGGTATTACGACACTTGACAGCTACAAAGTGTTTACTGCAATGGACCTAATAAGAGAGAAAAAAAAAATGAGAGGGAAGCATAGAAATTGCCTTTTAAACTCCTGCTTTTCTGTTCCATACACTCGCACTGTCCTAACCAAAGTTATCACCTCTTGAGCAACCTGATTTACATCCGTGTAAAATATTAAGGCGTATGAAGAAAATGAAATTGACTTTAGCAAATGGCTTATTTGTCTGATTACAAAATCTTACATTATTGGCGCTTGCGGTGAACTCCTGTGCAAATTTAGCTGCCCTTTTCTGAAACCTACCAATCAAGTAGTAATGTGATGGGTTGATATCTCTCACATACACCAAAAATGCAAGAAAACAAATATATTTCTATCATAAGCCTTTAAAAAAAACGCACAGCACTAGCAATCGAATGGCATAAAATGGCACTAGAGTTTATGAACAGACAGCTGGAAGAGACAAAGGAGTAATCTTTTACCGTCCATGAACTAGCATAATTGTTGATAGAGTTGCACAAACAAACATTGTACACAATCCGAGAGGCCAAGATAAAACTAGCAGATAAATTAATGCACCTGCACCCTGAGATAAATTAATGAAATAGCACATGAGCTTTTCAAACGCTGAATGATGTTCAATTGAAGAATTGCAAATAAATTTTCACCTGAAGTAAATTGCGTGAAATCAGGTTAAGGTCATTGCCTATAACACGAGACACTTGTTGGCAGTCCGAACCAAGTCTACTTGTCAAATCACCGACTGTTTCTTCATCAAAAAAGGAAATATCCTAGCACAATGTAACTACAGTAAAAATCCTAGTGGTATTGTTGAGGGAAAAAATGCTTAATAAATTTTCTTTCAGCTTCCATATTTCTGCATTCTTTCTTACCTGTGAAAGAATGGAATCAAATAGCTCCTCTCTCACCCGTTTGACCTAAGAAAAATTCAGATGAGTGTTAGGACAGATCATATGGAAGGAGTATGGACAGACAAACTTGTTACTTTGTTAGGACATGAGGAATCTGACATGGTTTTACCAATATCATGTTTGCAACACCAAAACAGCAGCTTCGTACGCCACTGCAAGTTAGGGATACCACTACATAAGCAACCTTGTTTCACAAAACCATGCAGAATGCAACAATCAATTATGATAATTCTGTACAGAGTATCATGAAAAGTTCCTTGTTTCCGTTTGTGCAAATTTGTATATGTGCATTTTTCATAATGTTCTGTAGCAAGCATGATTTTCCCTATGATCCCGCCTTTTGTATTCATCATTATATTTCACATACATCAAAACTTCATGCTCAAAACGCCCCAAATGTTTCAGAGTATACTTCCCAACTTTGTTGATCACATAGAGCTTTCAGAACCCTACATTACAAACTAAAGTCTGCAGAAAACCACATTTTATTTTACTGATAAACAGCAGAGCCTATGGTCAGCTGCTTCCATTGACTGAGCAAACCGGTGAGTTGAATAGCAAAATGTGTGCCGTTTTATACCAAGGACAATATGAGCAAAATATAAGTATATAACTAACCTGAACACCCCGGAAACCAGACATAGGACAACCAGAAGCTTGGCATTTCGGTAGAACACTGCGCCTCCATTCTGCGCAGAGAAAATGGACGCTGCAAGGAGATGCGGTATGGCGATCTCCGCAAGCTGCAATGGCAACCAAAGCACATCACTACGCTCACCAACAAACACTGTACACTAGATAAATCACTAGTCAACCATAGCACACTGTCGTGTCATGGCTGGGCAAGCGTTACCGCAGCGCCGACGAGGGACGCGAAGCCGGCGTAGATGACCCATCTGTCGCCGGCGACGAGGGACCACATCCGCCTGAGCGCGGAGACGGCGGTGGTCCCGCTCCCCTCGGCGCGGCCGGCCCCATCCCCGGCCTCGTCGCCGTCCTCGAGGCGCCACCAGCTGCCCCCGGGCAGCACGTTGCGCAGGCGCTCGATGAACTCCCCCACGACGACGCGGCGCCGGCCGAGGCCGCCGAACTCTCCGCCGATCGCCGCGGCGGCGCGGATCCTCGCCTGCCGCAGCGCCCGCAGCCGCCGCTGCCTTGGGGCCCGGAGCGGCGCCCGCCTCGCGGCCAGGGTCAGCGACAGCGTGGGAGACCCCGGGGCCGTCGTGTGGAGCAGCATCGCAGCCGGAGGCGGCATTTCGCGGTGTCAAAACCCCTCACCGGGGCGCGCGAGACTCGATCTGGACTCCGGCTCGCGGCCGCGCGACTTCAAATAGCGAGACGAGGCCAAGGGCGACGCCGACGGTTGCGTCCTCGCCGGAGCTGGGCTGGTTGGGTTGCCGTGCGCGGCACTGGCACCGCGAGTGCGCGACGCCTCTCTCCTCCTCCTCTTCGCCCGGCTGCGCTGCCTCGGTGTGTTTTTTTTCTTCCTCGCTGTCTTTTTCCGTTTTCTGTCTGGAATCGAAAAAGAAAAAGAAAAAGAAAATGTGTACCGTTTTGGTTTTCCACGCGCGTGTTTGCGTTGCGAAAGTGCTGGGAATTTTTTGGATTTTGGAAATTGTATGGCTATGATTGATTTGCGAGGTTTTTGGATTGGCTTTGGTTAACTCGGCGAGGGAAGGGAACGGACTTCTCTGTGGTCGTGGTTCGTGAACCTCAGGCATGTCCCTTAGATCTTATCAGCTGATTTATTAACTAAAATTTATAATATTTTTTTCTAATAATAAAACAGCTTTTCAGCCGGCTTATTAGATGTCTTTAATATCAGTAGAACCTCGTGTTGCTGCTGGCCAGACGACAAGGGCCATGGGCCATAGCTGGTAGTTGCCTCTAGACAAGTTGGTGACTCGGTGCCGTGGTGGACTGTGGTAGTTCAGCGGTATTTTTTTTATAAAAAAAGTTCAGTTTACTTCATGAATTAGTTATAATCTTCTTTTTTTCCTCACCAAACTCTAAAACTAGACATATATAATCTCTGAACTTTTAAAACTATTCAAGTTACCATTATGCTCTAGTTTAGAGTGGTTTTGAAGACACTTTTGTCATTTTTAGTTAAAAATCCTTAAATATTTGATAAGGTTTTAAAATCAAATCAATTGTCTCTAAGCTTCTCAAAATTTAAAGAAAAAACCTAGAGATAGATTAGGATGCGACAAATCTAAATAACCCAAAAATATATCTAGAAGCTTTGAAACATTAGATTTAGCTCTTCGAAAATAGAAAATAACCCAAAAATCTATAAAATACAAAATCATTCTAATCGATGTCCAAACGTGTTTTAAAAACTTTTTCACAATAAATGCTAAATGCATTCATGCTATATATTTGTGTTGGTGTCATCTTATGTTTGTGGAAAGTTTCCAAACGTGTTTAGACATCAATCAGAATGTTTTATTTTCTAGATTTTTAGATATTTTTCGTGAGCATTGCACATTTTATTTGGATTTGTTGTATCTCTAGGATCTTTTGGTACTTTTAGAAGTTTAGAGACATTTCCCATGATTTAAAAACCTTAACAACTATTTATCAGATTTTTAATTAAAAAGGAAAGATAAATCGCCCTCAAAACCACTTCAAACCAAGATAAGGAGGTAATTTGAACAATTGTTCAAAGGGATTACGATGTCTGGTGTTATTAGAGTTTGAGAAGGAAAATCAGACTATGACGATGATTCAAGAAGATGAAATAGACCTTTTCTTTTCTCTATTGGCCCATGTAGTGTAGCCTAGCAGCGCCGCAGTGCTAACTATAAGTATTACGAGAGCTACATTCTTATCTAACCTTGATCAAATTTATAGAATAATACATAGTACCATCTATAATATCAAATTTGTTTAATTCATTGTATCATAAAATATGTCTTATCATTGTGGTTTATCAGGTCATGTACGTATTTATATGACTTATAGCAAAATTATTAAGTTCACTTATTCGAAACAATTAGTTTTGTTTTGGAGTCTATGAATGTATATTCATAGTCGTTTCCTCACACACGGAGAGAACAGAGAACACGCTTATAACTTATTTAATTCCACCACAAAATTGTCGAAAGCTATGTACGTAGCTTCACAGAAATTCACCATCAAAATTATGCTATTACTACTTTCATACTATACTTGTCCAATGCATATCCCATATATATATTTCAAACGTAATTACATCCATACTTTTAATTATGAGACGTCAGACAAAATAGGGCATAACTTCTGTAGTGACCTGGCCAAAAGTTAGTTGGCCGCTGATTTTGGTATGTAAAAGGTGTTACTATTTCACAAAATTTAGTAGTAGATTTACACCGGAAAAAAATGATCTTCCTATGGTCCCCGTAGACAAGCTATAAACACTAAACAGACACTACTGGAAATGTCAAATTTGTCGAGTGCTTTTATGTTTGCCGAGTGTATTTCCTCGGACACTCAGCGAACAAGTTCTTTGCCCAGTGTTGCGCTAAAAACACTCGGCAAAAAAAGCACTCGACAAAGAGAGGGTTTGCCGAGTGTCAAAAAAAAAAACACTCGGCAAAGTGATGGTTTGCCGAGTGTCAAAAAAAAACACTCGGCAAAGAGTGTGGTTTGCCGAGTATTTTCTTTTTTGCACTCGACAAAGAGATGGTTTGCCGAGTGTAAAAAAAACACTCGATAAAGAGTTCGGTTTGCCGAGTGTTTTCTTTTTTTGCACTCGGCAAAAAAATAAAAATCATTTTTCTAGGAAAGAAGGAGAAAAAAACTGAAAAAAAACTTTGCCGAGTGCCCAGATCTAGAACACTCGGCAAAGAAATATTTTTTTCTAAGAAAGAAAGCGAAAAAAATTAAAAAAAACTTTGTCGAATGCCCAAATCTAGGACACTCAGCAAAGAACAAAATCCACTTAATAAACTGGCCCAGCGCCCCTCCCGAGCAACCCGCCCTTCTCTTCCCCAGCGCCCCTCCCTCTCCCGGATCTCGCGAGTCACGAGGAACCGCCGCCGCGAGCGTGCTCTGCCTCCTCCCCGAAGTGTCGCCTCAGGCGAGCACGGCCGCCTCGACGGAGCCTCGGCGGCGAGCAGCACCAGCTCCGGTGGATTCGGCCTCTTCCAGTAGTGCCACCTCCGTCCTCATCGACTCCGGTGGCGGTCGAGCGACACCGGCCCCGGCAAATTTGGCCTCCTCTAGTCACGTCACCTCCATCCTCACTGACACTAGCGCGGCCGCTCCCTACACGGCCGGCGCGGCCCCTCCCTCCCTAAGCGGCCGGCGCGGCTCCTCCGATGGCGAGGTCCCGGTGGCCCCCTTCACCTTGATCTGCCCGCTCAGCCAGGCGCGGCTGTGCTGGCCCTCCTCAACGGTATGTGGTGGTGGCGTCCCCTCCCCTTGCAGATCTTGTGGCGTGGTACCTAGCTGGAGGTTGGCTGCAGCCATGGTGCACGGCGATCTCTATCCTTGGACTTCGATTTGATTAGTAATTGCTGCCCTATTGGTGCTCGATGAAATGCTCTGCCGGTGTTCTGTCTTGGATGAATGATTATTGGTTTGCATCCACAGGGGCTGATTTGCTTGCTGTCCGGACAATTATTATTTTTCTTTGGAAAATAGGTTTGCCGAGTGTATTTTGAAAAACACTCGGCAAACCAATTTTTTTTGTCTAGTGTCAAATTTGACACTCGACAAACCATTTGTCGAGTGCGCGATAAAAAATACTCGGCAAATAGCTGTTTGCCGACACTGTAGATGTCGTGTGCTGTTTGCCGAGTGTTACACTCGGCAAAGCCTTTGCCGAGTGTTTTTTAGTCTTTGCCGAGTGCCCCTGTTTCTGGTAGTGAGAGATGCAATTGCTTTGTTAGAAACAATGATCTGCTACAAACAAACAAATAGCACTCACGCACTCGGAGTCTATAGTAAGATGTTCATGTCTTCATGATGTTGCATGATTCTAGACTGATGATACACATACACTCTGTAACACCCTAGGTGTTAGGCTTGCACTTGTGCACTTGCATTGCATGAGCATAAGCATCATTCATTCATATATGAGCATAAACATATGAAACATTCATATAAAATATATGAAACATACCCTTTGTTATTCTATGTTCCAACGTGTGTATGCTTTATGGTCATGCTTGTTAATGCAAGTGGTTGATGTTGATCACTAAAACACCTTAGACACTTAGGATGGTACATGGAACAAGTTTGGTATTCATGACATGGACCAAAACAGCCCCCAAGTCATAGTTATTCTAGAAACTCTAATTTTCATGATCCTACTTTAACCAAAGTTGAATTATAGCATAGAGTATTTGCATGGTAGTGCACCCTTAATAAAAGTTGTAGCTTATCTTATGTGGAACAAACTTTATTTAAAGGTCATGAGCTAATTCAGTGCCTAACATAGTCCAAAACAACTCCAAAGTAGCAAAGAAATACTGATTTTGGACTTGGAGAATTTGCCATTTATAGTTTCAATGTGCCTCACTTGGGAGCTTTGTAACTTGCTAACCATTGAGAATTAAATGTTGGTTCCTAAATCAAAGTTGGAGATCTCACATAGCTCTACAACTTTCACTAATACAGTTTTTGCTAATTCTACACGGTTTAGGAGTTATGGAGACGCAAAGTTGGCTCATCAGATGGCCTGAACCGGCCCTTCGCCGCGCCGTCAGTGGCCGACCGTGCCAGGTCGCGGCTGCCACGTGGTAGTCGTACACCGGCGACGGCCGGGCTGGTCGGGCCAGCGTGCTGACAAGAGGGCCGCGTCCTTGCTGCTCCACTCCCACTAACGCTCACTCTTTCTCTGCCTCGCCTCGCGCTCGTTCTCTCCCGCAGCCGAGCAGCGCCGTCGCCGCCGTGAGCTTCGTCGAGCTCGCGCGCAGCCGTCAACGCTCCATTTCTAAATTGCCCGCACCAATAGCTCCGCCTTGCTCCGCTCTACCACCTCGACCCAGTAGAGCTGCCGTTTGAGCCCAAGGTAAAGGCCTACGGCTATTTTCGCCACCGCGACATCACTGGAGCGCCGCCGCGCTCTCGGCTCACCGTGGCCAGGCCGCTCCACTGCATCTCCCGCCTTCCTATCGTCCGGTCCGTAGTTGCCTTAGGTCACTGCTGCTCAGGTCGTACCCTATTACCACCTTTTTGGACAAATGCTGCAAAACGCACTCCTATTACAACACAATTTGTGGTGATGCAAATGGCGTCAAGTGGCAATAGGGTCGAAATCTAGTA